AAATGCCCAGAGGTGAGACAGACAGAATGAGATACAGACACTAAAATGAGTCACAGACCAAACAGGAGAAGAGACTGACAACAGCCTAGGAAAAGAAAGGGGAGGGGGAGGGGCGTGTGATTGACAAGAAGAGGTGGGGCTGTCAGTCTGCAGAGCACACAGCAGTGGAGATATTGAGAATGAACATAGATGTCAGGGATCTGTCCCACCATATGCTGCCCAGGGGATCAATGTGCTAGAGCTCTCATGAGGGCCCACAGGGATGATGAAAATGTCTAAAGGAAGCTTTAGTTAGACAAATTTTATTTTTTATCTCAGAATACATACAGTTAAAGATGAAACTCATCACCTTCGAGCCTTTGCAAAGCTGATGCCATGTTTCCTGTACTGCGAGCTCTGAGCAGAGTTCTAAGTATTTAACTTTTAAAAGATTTCCATTCTAGTTAAAACATCTAAGACCAGGGCTATCTGCTCTCCTGGTACCCAATGACCATCTTTCTGTAGACCAGCAGGAAGATCAGGAAGGCCACACCCAGGAAGATAGTCATGCCCCTCCAGCCATTCCTGTAGGATTTCTGCCATTCCCAAAGCCCAGTTAGCAGCCTGGTGTGCAGAAATAATCCTATAAAATAAGCAGAATCTCAGGGGTTAAGGGTTTGTTAACTAACTGTAGCAAATGAATCAAAACAGCCAGTTCCACTCCATGGGCTGAGGGAAGTATTAAGAGATTGATGAATATCTGGATCATGAATCCCTCCTGTACCATTAGATGAGCCATCAATAAAATAAGTAGCTGCCTGTGGAACATGAGCAGGTTAGATAATGTTGTAATCACAAATTCAGTTCATGTGAGAAAAACCCATAGGTTTCCAGCTGGATGATGGTTTCCTATCTTCCACAGAGATCTGCAAATGGAATTTGGAAATCCATAGAGTTCGGTAACACTCTTAAAACTGTTAGTTAAGGATACTACTACACAGCAAGGATCAAATCCATGTAATTGTTGACATCCAGTCCTCCCCTGATTTACTAATTGAGCAAGAGGAGTAAGGTAAGCAGACAGTATTTTATGGCCCTTATGGTGTACATGAATCCGTTCCAAAGTTTATCCTTGTGTGCTGTAATACCTGTAGGAGACAATTTAGTGGGGAAAATAAGGGAGTTCAAAGGCAGTGAAAGATCCACATACTACACAGATGCCTCTTTTAGTCTGGATTCTTTTCTTGCTTCGCAAGGTAATCTGAGAGGATTATCCAAAGCCATCCCTCCTTCTAGAGTTTAAATAGATTGCTTATATTGAAAATAGCAAGCCCAGCTCATGAGCCCATGGTGGATTTGGGAGCCAAATTTCCTTTCCCTGCTAGGCCCAAGCTTGCCTAGGTTAGAAATTTAGTTTTTTCATAGGTTCTCTTCAGGAAGTGGAAGAGAATTCAAGATCAGATTGATTATCAAATTCCTCACCCCATGCTTCAGGGTCAGTTTTAGTCACTAGTGGAGTGTGTTTAAAGGAGGCTCCAGTAAAGGAGCTGAGGCAGTTGCCAGCAGCATAGTCATTGGTGGCCATGTTTTTACTTTTGATTTTACCTTGATGGGGAAAAATCTCCCTTTACAAAAAACACAAACACAGAAAGATTTTAAAGTTTGATCATCTAGTTGATATTCATTTAAGGATTTATCCATCTTTTGCTCATGATTGATATCCTCTGTGTCATCCTTAAGCACTTGGATAACAGTCCAAATTAAAGTTCAGTGACCCAAAATTGAACAAGATCTTTCCTCTATGTCTGTGTGCCTTTTCAATATTCTTTCAGATTCTGTCCCATTCTTCTTCATCTAAAGTCCCTTCTTCTGGAAACCAAATATTATAATCACAAACAAATTACAAGAAATTTAATAGTTGTGATGTTAGTATGTGGTATCCTTCTTTCATTAAAAAAAGATGCACAGGTTAAACAAAAAGCAAAGCCATCCATGGTTTCTGCTGCTGTATTCTCACTGACCTCCTTCTGATAGGTTCATCACCACTTATCTCATAGACAACTTCAGGTCCAAGTTTCAGGCACCATTTGTCATATATCTAGACCTAGGAGACAGGAGCCAATAAACTAGGTGGACTAAAGTCTGATGCAATAGCCAACTTCATTCAGAGCATCAGACAATGTACACTCTGAGAGTTAAGAATAGTCACATGAGTCCTTCTCTAGCCATCCGGCAAGGTGGATGGATGTAGGGCCCGACCTAATGGGTTTAGCTCGTTAAACAACTTCAATAAAACATTCTTTGCATTTTGAATCACACATAAAATGTCCAGTTACAAAGGAAGCCACATGTGGCTAACAAGCTGTGCATGGTGCTCAAGCCTCATGTGGCAAAAATATGTTTTTCTATAGAAGCATGTAACCAAATAACTATAGCCAGTTGTAATAAATAATCTGAAATAAACTCCTATGCACTACACATGGGAGGAGTATGAAAGCATGATCTATGAACAATTCTGTGTTTTTTGAAGAAACTGAGGTCACAAGACTCTTGTCTTGGTTACCTGGAGTATTCTCCCAAGCACTCAGAAATCTCCTCACAGGACTCCATTCTTGAACTGTGTTCATAAGCAGAAAACATTTGTTTTCTGCATATTCTATGACTGAAGCCTGTAGTGTTTCCAGCAATAGGGTCTTGCCATCAAGTTGTAGTGCACTATCAAGATCAATGGCAATAGTCTACGTGGTGGATTGAATGAAATTATCCCCATAGCTCCATAGGGAGTGGGACTTTGGGAGATGATGAGGTTTTGTTGGAGTAGGTATGGCCATCTTGAAGTGTGTCACTGGGAGTGGGCTTTGGGGTATCAGAAGCCCAAGGTAGGCTCAGTTGTCCTCCCTATTCCTGCTACCTGTGAATCCAGATGTAGAACTTTCAGTTACCTCTCCTCACCATGTCTACCTGTTTGCCACCATGCTTCACTCCATGATGATAATGGACTAAACCTCTGAACTATAAGCCAGACCAGTTGAATGCTTTTCTTTATAAGAGCTGCCCTGGTGGTCTTAGTTAGGGTTTCTATTGCTGGGAAGAGATAAGATGACCATGAAAAAATCTCATATATGAAAATTTTATTTGGTGTGGCTCATTTACAGTTCTGGGGTTCAGTTCATTATCATCGTGGTAGTGAGAATGGTGACATGCTGCCAGACATATTGGTGGCTGCATTTTGATCAGAAGGCAACAGGAAGTGAACTGAGACACTGAGTGGGATCTTCAACACAGGAAATCTCAAAGCCTGCCCCCATAGAGACACAATTATAACAAAGCCATACTCACTCCAACAAAGTCACACCTCCTAATAGTGCCACACCTTATGAGATTATAGGGTCAAATTACATACAAACTATTATACATGGTCATGGTGTCTCTTCAAAGAAATAAAACCCTAGCTCATACAGTAGTTGCTGTCAGAATTGCTGTGATGGGATGGCCACACTTTTGTTTGGAGGATTGTGGACTTTGGACTAGAAAAGCAGTTGAACACTTTATGTGGGGCTTAATGGTCCTCACCAGTAGGAGTATGGAAGATAGTGGTGCTGAGAGTTCTTTGAACTGTGAGGGACTGCCTCAGGAGGTTTTAGAGAAGAATGTTGGTATGTGGACTAGAGACTGTTCTTGTGATATTTTAGCACTCTGGAAGCACAGGCAAGAGGATCTCTGAGTTCATGCAACATGGTCTACAGATTGAATTCCAAGACTGGTATGCTTAGACAGTGAAGGAAACGATAAAAACCAGAATTCTGTTGAAAATGTATGTGAAGGAGGGGCAATGTTCCATCTTCAGGAAGCAATAGAACTTTTAGCTTATCACACATGGTTCTGGCTTTAGAGAAGTGGTTCTAAACCTTCCTAATACTGCAAACATTTAATATAGTTCCTTATGTTGTGATGACCCACAACCATATTATTTTCATTGCTGCTTCATAGTTGTAATTTGGCTACTGTTATGGTTTGTAATGTAAATATCCTATGGTCTTAGGATACCCCTTTGTGAATAGAGTTTTCAATTCCACCACCAAAGGTTTCATGACCCAAGTGTAGAGAAATACAGCTTTAGAGCCAATGATACCAGAAAAGGGTTATAGAATCTCCCACTACAACTAAAGAAACTCGATGAGGCCAGACAACTAGCAGGGGTGTTTGTTTGAGGACGTTCAAAGAGGCCAATGCATGAAGTTGAATAATTAAAAGAAGAAATGAATAAATAAATATTTTATTAATTCTTTGACAATATCTCACATTAAATTCTGATCTTATTTGCCCCACACTCCTCTCCCTAACTCCTTCCAGAACTAACCTTAGCTCCCTAACCCTTGCTTTATGTCCTCTTTCTTAAAAAAGAAAAGAATCCATGGACTCTCCTTCAAGATTTTCAAATTAATGTCTGAGCCTTACAACATTTCTTCTCTACACAGAATGCACGGTAGCCCCATGACCAGGTTGGCCAGAAGTCCCCTAGTTTGGTGTCAGTCATGATTTATGTACAGCATCTCATCATGAGAAACACTGGAAACCTGGTAGTTGAGAGACTGAAGTTCTAGCACAGGGAAGCACAGAGTTGACAAAGAGTCTCACGTCAGTCAGAGCTAACAGAGCCTGACTACCACTGCATGACCTGCACACACGTGGGGACAAAGGGCTTGGCACATTTCTGGACAGCTTGATCATTCCTACACACAGCTTTTTCAGTGAAAGGTCAGCTGATTTGGGACAAGGAAAAGCAGGTGCTTCCAGGAGTCTCTGTACCTCACAAGCTGGGCTCTACCTGCGACTCTATTGTGAATCATCCATGCTGTATGTATTTATTCATTATTCATCCATGTATTTTTGTGCTGTTCATTCTAAAACCCAGGGCCAAGGGAATGCCAGGCAAGCACTAGCTAATAATCCACAACCAAACTCAAGCTAAAAGATTAATGATGCAGACAGGTAGAAAATAAGATGAGGTTACTGTTGGAACCAAGTAGAAGGGGCAGAAGATGGTACCCCACAGGCTGAGTGCCAGCAGTAAACCATGGTGACTATGAAGAATCTGAGATGATGAGGCAGAGTGTGAGTTCAGACAATTGAGCTGAGGAAGCAGCATTGTCAACAGCGTTCCTCCTCTCAAGGGTGATGGTACCTGTGGGAAGATGGAGGAATGACAGGAGAGAAATGTAATGGATCCTCACAGAAATATCCCTGAGACAATTCTAGCTGCTTTCCCAAAGCTAAGTGCTTCCAAGGATGTTTGCACATAGGTTGGCAAAGAACAAGGATGGGTCAGGCTGGGAGAGAACTGAGGTCTGGATGACCTGGGATTCCCAGAATGAGGTGGGTGAGGACTCTGTGACCTCACAATAGAACCCTGCCCTAGTAATGCCAGGGTCTTACCTGAGGACAAGCCAGAGTCCAGAAGGAGGGCTTGAATCACAGCAAGTGCATGTGACTGGGTAAGTTTGGGCTGTTTTCTGGGATGGACACTACCTGAAATTAATCATGTGAGTGACTCACTCGGTTTGAGGCACTTCTTTATTGAGATCTTAAATGGGGACACTAAAACATAGCGAGGTATTTGAAATGTCCCAGCCTGAGGAGAGCTCATCCTAAGAAGAGCTAGAAACAGCAGGAGTCAGAAGTCTCATAGCAGTGGGACAGGAACCTCAAGACCACATGGAGAGAAACCCCTCCACTCACAGAGAGAGAGGCCTTGGGATGAAGCCACACAGGTGGATCTGCACCAGGACTCCAGCCTCTGACCTAGGTGATAAGGACAGAGGGTTCCTGTTTGTATGCCCACATTAGACAATCACACGCAGGTTGTTCAGGGAGTGTGGGCAAAGCATCCCTGGCACTGATATCTGTTCTTCCCTGATAATTCTGGTCCCTGGTGGTAACAATGTTTTCATTTATACTAAGATAGACATAGACAGCTGCCATAATTTGGGAACAGAATCCAATGTCACTGTCACAGGAAGCACCATGGCAGTACTCTCCCTTCTAATTCTGTGCTTATACATGTTTTCACTTGGATGTGTTTAGAGGAAGCTTTAGGCTCTGTGGAGGGAGAAATATACACAGGATTCCTGGGATGAAGGCATAATTTAACCTCACTGTGCTATACTGGGAGCAGGGGTGATAAAGGATATGAGGCACAATGTGGTTCTTTAACAGGACCTGTGCTATAGCTGTAGAAAAAGCTGCAGTAAGTATCTGTAAGATGTGTGACAAAGAACTAGTGTAACAAGGACTCAGGAAGACAACACCCACAACTCACTGGAGAATGAGGCCATGGGATGTCCACACCCAGCCTGTATCACATGAGAAGACTTCAGTCTCCAGGCTGGTGCAGAATAAACTCTGCTAGTGGGCCCAAGCCAGGGACAACCATCAGCTAAGGCAGCCCACAGTGTCAGGACAGGTAGGGAGTGTGTCAAATTCATTACTGCAGGGGTCTGAAGGGACTTTGCTTCTTCCAAGCATGATCCTTATCTTTTATAACTATGGGTTATGCCCAGCATGGCTGAAGTCAGGGACACAATATGAAACACAACTACAGCCATCTCCCTAACTTATACATTTAAATATAAATTGTATGTAAAATTTAATGAAGAGAGGCCTCTGAAGAAAGTGTCAACTTAGTGCATAGTCTATGACAGAAGGCTTGAGCCACCAGAATGTTAAAGATAATTACTTGTACCACCCACATGTTTGTGACATCCCCACAGGGAGCACATGCTTCACAGGTAGGAGTGATTCTCATGGGCTTCTCTAGACATGAACCTTCCTGGAAATCATCTTTACATTTGGCTCATAGGCCCTTCCCAGAATGGCCACAGTCACTGATGCCATACTCTATCCATTTTATTTTCAAACTTAAGCCTTTACTTATTAGACCTGTGTTCATATAATTGTGGGTGAATCTGTGTGTATGTGTGAGGGGATTTTGTCAATTTTCTTCAACTAACCTCCACCTGTATTTGTGAAAAAAGGTGACAGCTGCTGAGGCAGAGCCAGCACCTGCCTTGGAACTCCAGTTTCCAAACAATGACAGGATGAAGCTCTGCTGTTATGCTGGTCTCCAGAGTGACATTCTCAGAAGTCATTGACTATATCAAGGCAGAGCCAGGTAAGGGAATTTCATGACATCCTGCTTTCTGGGCAACCCTCCTGCAATCTGTTTAATGGTGGTGATGGGAGAGGTTGCACCCCAACATTATCCATCAGCTTGATACACAAAATCCTGCAGATGGCACACTTAAAATCTCTCGACAAGAGAAACTTGTTGATAAACTGAGCAGCAGAAATGAGACACCAAGAGGTGAACTGTGTACATTAGGGATGAGTATGACCCTTCCCCACTGAACAAGCTGGGCCCAGGGGTGAAATTCCCTGGAGAAGGAAGACAGGATGTGAGCTTGTTCCCAAGAAATGATCTTAAGAGAAGACTTCAGGGACTTCCTCTAAGTACCAGCCCAAAAGACATCTGTGCGCATCGACAGCCTTTGAGTTTCACAGAGTGAGGCCTGGCCTCTGTGACCTCACATGAGGGTCACTGTCATAGTTACAGGTGTGACCCAGATCTGAGGGCAGCAGAGCCCATTACAGTGGACCAGGATTTAGCTCAGGAGAAGGTGGGCAGAGATCTATTTCAGGTAAGTGACTGCAGAAAATTCTGTAGGTGAAGAAGTGATCTCAAACCAGTGTACTTGGCAGGGGGCTCTCTTGAAAGGGGTGACTAAGGCAGATTCGGTGTCTGAGGTGTTTTTGATGGACAAGACAGATATGACCTTGAGAAGGGTTGCAAAAACAAGGATCAGAGAAATACCCTCACTGAACATGGCCATGTATGACATTCAGAGAGAGGACGCCATCCCCACACAGCAAAGAGATTTTGTGATGATCTGTAGAGACTTCTATGCCTTAGCAAGGCATCCTCTAGATGATGGGAGGACTAACCTCTGCTGTTTCATGTAACTGTGATATTCCATCAAGGGTTCAGACCACAGAAAGGAAATATACCATGGTGTCTTGGTGGGACTCTCCTATGTGTATCTCACAACATCGAAGGAACAGTCTTTCCATATGAGCTCATGAATATCCCCTCCACCATAGACAGTCAGCTGTGCAACAGGAAGGACTTACCCAACCAGCTTTCTCTCCTACATATTTCATCTTTGTATAATGTATAATTATTTTATGTAAACTGTGGGCTATTTGTGTCTGTGTCTCTGCATGTTTCCCTGAGGACAGGTCAGTGATGTTCTGAGAACATTTAAGATGCTAGTATTTTCCACTATCAGAGTCCACCTGACTTTTCTTTTTATTTTTTCAGAACTGCTGAAAATAGACGAAGACTTAGTCAAAGATTTGGGCAAGCATGGGCTGGAAAGGATCGACTACCTCCACCCTAATATTAAACAGGTACCCTGATCCTGAAAAAGGCTGGACCCCAAATCAGAAGACATGGGGACCCAAGGAATTCCCTGACCCTAAAGAAGCATGGGTCCGTTAGAGAGGAAACATAGGCCTGGGCCAATCAAATGAAAGAAGCCAGGGCCATACCAAGAAAATGGGTGTGCCCAGGCCAATCCTGACCCTGAAAAAGCCCAGGCCCAAAGCATGAAGAGATGTGGGCCTGGGCTAACCCCTGACCCTAAAGAAGCCTGGACTCAATTATCCAGAGAATTAGACCTGGGCCAATCAAATGAAAGAGGCCTGGGCCAGACCAGGAAAATGAGTGTGCCCAGGCCAATCCCAACCCTGAAACAGCCCGGGCCCAAAGCAGGATGAGATGTGGGCCTGGGCTAACCCCTGACCCTATAGAAGCCTGAGCCCAATTATCTAGAGAATTAGGCCTGGGATATCAAAAGAAAGACACCTGGGCCAGACCAAGAAAATGAGTGTGCCCAGGCCAAACCTAACCCTGAAAAGGCCCAGGCCCAAAGCAAGAAGAGATATGGGCCTGGGCCAATCCCTGACCCTAAAGAAGCCTTGGCCCAATTATCTAGAGAAGTTGTACTGGGCCTATCAAATGAAAGAGGCCTGAGACAGACAAAGAAAATAAGTGTGCCCAGGCCAATCCTTACCCTGAAAAGGCCCGGGCCCAATGGAAGAAGAAATGTGGGCCTGGGCCAATCCCTTACCCTAAAGAAGCCTGGGCCCAATTATCTAGAGAATTAGGCCTGGGCCAATCAAAAGAAAGAGGCCTGGGCCAGACCAAGAAAATGAGTGTGCCCAGGCCAATCCTGACCCTGAAAAAGCCCGGGCCCAAAGCAAGAAGAGATGTGGGCCTGGGCTAAACCCTGACCCTAAAGAAGCCTGGGCCCAATTATCCAGAGAAGTTAAGCCCTGGGCCAGACCAAGAAAATGAGTGTGCCAGGCCAATCCTGACCCTGAAAAGGCCGGGCCCAAAGCAAGAAAAGATGTGGGCCTGGGCCAATCCCTGACCCTAAAGAAGCCTAGGCCCAATTATCCAGAGAAGAAAGTGGCCTCAGCCAGACCAAGAAAATGAGTGTGCCCAGGCCAATCCTGACCCTGAAAAAGCCCGGGCCCAAAGCAAGAAGAGATGTGGGCCTGGGCTAACCCCTGACCCTAAAGAAGCCTGAGCCCAATTATCCAGAGAATTAGGCCTGGGCCAACCAAAAGAAAAAGGCCTGGGCCAGACCAAGAAAATGAGTGTGCCCAGGCCAATCCTGACCCTGAAAAAGCCCGGGCCCAAAGCAAGAAGAGATGTGGGCCTGGGCTAACCCCTGACCCTAAAGAAGCCTGAGCCCAATTATCTAGAGTATTAGGTCTTGCCAATAAAAAAAAAGAGGTCTGGGAGAAAATGAGTGTGCCAAGGCAAATCCTGAACCTAAAAAGGCCAGGCCCAAAGCAAGAAGAGATGTGGGCCTGGGCTAACCCCTGACCCTAAAGAAGCCTGGGCCTAATTATAGAGGGAATTAACCCTGGGCCAATCAAAAAAATGAATGTTGCCAGGCCATTCCTGATCCTGAAAAAGCCTGGGCCGAAGCAAGAAGTAATGTGGGTTGGGCCACTTCCTAAAACAGAAGAACCCAGGCAGAAAACACAGACTTGGGCATTGGTGAAAATCTTGACCCTAAAGAAGCTTGGACGCAAAAGCGAAGGAGATTTGGGCCTGAGCCAATGAAATGAAAGAAGTCCCTGCCCAAATAGGATAATGAGTGTTCCCAGGCCCAAAGTGAGGAGAGATGTGGGCTTGGGCAAATACCTGAGCCTACAAAACCCCAGCCCTCAAAGCTGAAGGTATCAGGGTCTCTGACAATTCCTCTAAAGAAACCAGCCAGGGCCAAAACTAGTAAATGAGTGTTCCTCAGGCTCATCCTGACCCTGAAGAAGCCCAGTTCCAAAGTAAGAAGAGATGAGGGCTTGGGCCTTCCCTGAACTAAAAGAACTCTGATAGAAACCAAGAGAATTTCAGACCCTAAATAACCCTAGGACCAAAATGAGAAAATATGGGGGCCAGGGACATGAGGTCTTCAAAAGTCCTGGGCTAGCCCCTGACACTGAGGAAATTTGGGCACAAATTCTAATGTAATATCAGCTCAGATTAATCCTCTCCTGAAGAGGCCTGAACCCAAGGCCAAACTAATGTGAAACAACACAGTGGTTACAGTTTATACCATGAGGTTCTCTGATCAAGGCCTTAATTTCAGTTCTTATTTTACAACCAACCAAGACATCACTGCCCACACATCCCAGCTTGTCACTGATAGCCTTGGACTAACCCTCCATACTTCCTATCTTGATTGATATAAGTGACATTCTGAGTACCAGATGTGTGGCTCTCACACAAACACTTCATTCAATCCAACTTACTCAAAATGTGAACAAGGATGACAACATTGCCATAAAGTGCCAAGGACTCACCTAATTAATCCCGTAACATGGATGTACCTTATCAAAAAGGGTGTTACACTGCACCCTGCACCTTATCTTGACTGACTTTTTTTTAAGAAAATAATTTCTCATACTCAACTCTAGCCATAGACTGCTCACCAAGAATCTTGGGCAAACCCAGAACTTGATCTGATTAACTGGATATCTGGATGCATTATTCCCTCCAAGAAGGGGATCTTGATAATGACATGATTATTGACACAGGTTCAAGGCCATCCACAGACCTCAAAGGAAACCCAGCACCTCCTTGAACCCTAAGTAGACTAAGTAGACTGGACTAATATTAAATGGTGCGTGGGCCACACACTCTAGTCAACCCAGGACAAGATCCCACGACAAAGGAGCTAGTCTTTAAAGGGACAATACATTGCTCTAATGACCTAAGGAAATGGACATACCCATGACGCCGACCTGGTCTCAGGTCAGGCATTATCTCACTTCAATTATTTTTGGACAAATCATAGCCACATTTGTGACCCAGATCAAACCTCACCTTAATGACCAAAGGAAATGGACATATCCATGACGCCGACCTGGTCTGAGGCCAGGCATTTTCTCCCGACAATTTATTTTGTTGGACAAATCATAGCCTCATTTGTGACCAAATCCATGCTATTTCACTTAGAAATTTGGACTCAACCACAACCATTCTTGCGCTGACGATTGACATCACATCATAGACCATGAACTGTCATCAATGCTAATCTAGAATCTTCTTTGTGGTACCACTATACTTTGTGGGATGTACCTGCTATTCTTCCAACACATCCAGCAAACATTCTCACAGCAGGTGTATTAAGACCTCATTGCTCTCTAGTAATCTGAGCCTCACATAAACATCAAATAACAAAAACACAGCTTGGGATCAAGGGTGTGTGGGCCGCACCCAGCAAATCCTCTGTCCCAAGGTCTTCCTGTATGAGGACTTTCAGAGAGCAAGGATAAAAAGCTGACTTGAAGTCTGACCTAGGCCACACCTACTGCTCCAAGAAGGTTGAACACACTTTAACACCATGAGTGGGTTGTCTGAAGTTTGGCATAGTCTGAGTGCCTTCTACTGCCTGGGTCTAGCTTAAATGTAAGGGTATATGGGCCGTACCCTGTCTCCATATGACCCAGTGATACACTCACAGCAAGGGAGCAAGGACTATGCAATGACCTAAATGGAACAAGGAACCACTCTCCTTAATATCAGAATTAGATGGCACAGCGTCTTATTGTGATTCACCTGATCCCTGCCCCTCACCATTCCATCCATCAAAAACCTTGGATTCTTAAACAAGGCTTCTGAAGCTGATGACTGAAGGACAATCAAAATCAGTGTGGGCTGAGGGCTAATTTTCCACCAAGAAGCCTGAGTCAAGTTTAACTTTGACAGTTGTAGTCCTCATTCTCTCTTCATCACACCCAGGAGATTTCTTGGGTTGCAGGACCCAGGAGCACAAGCCATGGCCATCTGGATATCTGGGCCACATGAGAGAAACAATCTTTGCAGACACTGGCATGATGGGTGTGTGGGCCGCACCCTGGAGTCATTGTTTGCCCAACTGCTATCTGGTCTTCAAGAGATCCAGGACAAGAAGATCTCATGTGTGTTAGCAACACCAACACCTCAGAGGAAACTGGAACCACCACAAGGACCAACACAGGCTTCAAGACTGTGGTCCAAACCCTCATATCCTGACATCAAATGTTATCTAGCCACTCTGATGAACTTGACCCTCAACTTTGCCACTCCGTTGACCTTGACCTTCAATTTGATATGATTAAAAACATCAAGTAACTTAAAAATGTGATGACCCTGGAGTACAGACACAATTTTAATGTGGATGTCTAGTAGAAAACACTGATATTCACACTCTGGTGGAAACTAGACATTGTTTCTTATGTTTCTTTAGTGTCACCAGAGCCTACCTAGAAGAAGCAAGACTTATTCCCTGATTTCTATAGATCTCTGCCTTTATCTTAAGTACCTAACACAGTTCTGAAGCCTTGTCATCTTATATTATTCCTTATCACGTATCTCCTGCCTTACCATTACGTATATACTTTTCAATAAATACAAGATTCATTTGTGTCCTAGCGTTTCTATTGCTGTGAAGAGACCCCATGTCCATGGCAACTCTTATAAATCAAAACATTTAATTGGGGTTACTTGCTTACAGGTTCAGAGGTTCAGTCTATTACCATCATGGCAGCATGCAGGCAGATGTGGTCCTGGGGGAATTGCTGAGAGTTCTATTTCTCTCAGGAAACAGGAAGTCCACTGATACTGGGTGGGTTCCTGAGCATAGGAAACCTCAAAGCCCACCCCCACAGTGACACACTTCTTCCATCAAGGCCATACCCACTCTAACAAAGCCACACCTCCTCATAATACCACTCACTATGAAATTATGGGGACTAATAACTTTTAAACTACCACAGTCTTCTACCTTGTTTTATCCAGAAATCCGTATTTGGCCCTTTCCCTCTATTTTTGACTGATGGTTTTCAATCTTTGGATTGAACTTAAGAACAGGCTGTGATGTAGATACCTAGCACATCTCTTTCTCCCCTGTTTTCTCCAAGTGTATGGCATGTATTTGTATGCTCAGACCTCATGAAGATCAACGCACCTCTGCCCACGGTTTGTATATTTTCCTTTATTTGGATTCTCCCAAAGAAATGTAAACCAAGGTTCGTAGTAGCTAGGAACCCTTACCCAGTCATGAAGTCACAGGGACAAAATTTCTATTTTGGAAGTGCAGCTGCCATACTCTTCCAGTGCCCAAATAAGATTAACACCAAAATCTAGAGAGTTACTGGTAAAGTTCAGGGAGACAGGGGAGGAACAGGGTGGTGTGGATCATAGGAACCAGGGATCAGGAAAATGTTTTCCAGGAGACTCCACATGAAGATGAATGGACCACCAGTAAAATTCCATGCATGGAGTCTAAACACATGTAGAGATCCATATTATAGAAATGTGCCATGGGAACTTGAGGCACTCACTGGTGAGTGTACTGGGGGTACCTGAGTTACTGGAAGAACATTTTTATTACAGCCTGTAGACTTCAGGGTTTCTGACTGAATCCATCTTCAGAGAGTAATGGTGGTACCTGGATTATGCACAAAGAGAGAGAGTGTCCCCAGGTTCATGGTGAATTCCAAAGGGACAATTGCTATTGGTTTTATCTCACCTTATCACGTCTATAGACAATGTCAAAATGGTTGCAGAGCCAAGACCGTAATACAATCCCACACAGATGATTAAGTCAGGAGGTACATAGGTTCCTCTGGGGCTCTGTGTGTCTGGACAACTCATCTCTTTTTAGTTTCCATTGTCTGGATGTGTCAATTTGTCCAGTTATGCATGCACTTACTGAAAGGTATCTGTGTTGCCTCTGCATTTGCACATTGTGAACAAAACTGACATGAATATTGGTGTTTGGATACTTGTATAGTCACACTAACATGTTTTTAAACAAGGGATGAGAAAAAGGGGCTCTCTAGAATAACATGTCATAAATATGTTGAGCTGAGGAGATGGGTATTAGCTCTCAATGGGTAAGAACATTTGCTGTGCAAGCATGGGGACCTGAGTTTGAATCTTCAACACCCAAATAAATACATGGTGAGACCACTTGTGCCTGTAATCCCAGCACCAGGAGGCAAAGACTGACAGATCCTGGAACTCCTGGAAGCCAATCTCACAGAGAGCAATTCAGTGAGAGACACTGTTTCAAGGGCAAAGTGTTGAAGAGTGGTAGAAGCTGCCTACAAGCAGCCTTCTGCCCTCGCTGTGGTCAATCAGAAGCACATAAGTGCACATGGGCGCACTGACACACCACACACACACACACACACACACACACACACACACACCAAAATCAAACAAAACTCCCATAACATTGTTTAAAATTTCCAGCTTGGGGAAGCAAGACAGAAAACTCAAGAGCTAAGAAGCAGGGGGCAGTGTTTGCAAGACATGGACAACAGTTACAAAATAGTTTCCAATTGTTTAATTCCTTCACTATACTGTTTAAATGTTTTTGAAATTCTCTCTCTCGCTCCCCCTCTCTTCCTACCTTCCTCCTGTGTGTCAGAGAGAGAGAGTGTGTGTGTGTGTGTGTGTGTGTGATGTGTATGTGATGCATGTATGTGTGAGTAACATGTGCAGGTACAGTAGGCTAGAAGCAGGGACCGGTTTCCTGGGACTGTCTTCAGGTCCTCTGGAAGAGCAGCAAGAGCAAGCATTCTTTTTTTTTTTTTTTTTGGTTTTACGAGACAGGTTTTCTCTGTTTTGTTTGGGAGGCTGTCGGTCCAGCCTGGCCTCGAACTCACAAAGATCTGCCTGCCTCTGCCTCCTGAGTGCTGGGATTAAAGGCGTGCACCACCGCTCGGCTACAGCAAGCTTTCATAACCACTACAACATCTCTCAGATCCTATGTTTCTTTATTATTTCCCAGGCATGTGTGTATCAGGAGGGGGATAAATCACCAGTTCTCATGGGATTTGTCTAGAAATCATATGTTAAACTTGTAAGGACACATTGTCAAAGACACACCTACAACAACGTGGTTGGGGGCAAGGACTGTTTCCAGTGGCATAGAGCTACAGTTTTGAGCTCCAGGCTCTCATAGAAGAGATTTGTGCTGTTTTTTCCCTGTGACTGCTGGGGCCTGGTTTGGGTTCCACACTGTAGACAGCTCCTTTGCAGCAGAATATATCTTTGCTTTGAAGGCCAGCACCAGAATTCTGCAGTGAACACTGACCAAGAAAGAGTTGCAAACAGCCACAGGCTCTGACTGAGAGGAAGAAAGGGAGCTGTAGAGGACTGGATGGGCAGGACCTGGGGCAGATGATATTTACACCTATAAAACATAGGGCTTTCAGGAACCAACCAGAAAATGCCTGTAATTCAATGGGAAAGAAAACAGCTATGAACAGGAGCATGCTATAGGAAAGGCATCCATTTATCTGCTCCAAACAGATGTCATTTCCTGTGTGTCCCGAGAGCAGTGAAGGCCCGCACTCAAGACAGCTCTATTGTGTTTCCTTCAGGGTGCCTTTTCCCTAATGTACAGACAGCTGTGGCTAATGCTGCATGGGCTTCTGTCTGTGGCTCGGACACATAAGGATTAGCCTGTAGGTGTTAAGGCTGCTGAACTTACCTTCTCTGTGGAGACCCAGTGGAAGCTCCAAAACCTTCAGCAGCTATTCCTTCTTGTTTATGGAGTATTTATAAAATACCTGCAGAGGCAGTTTTGAAAGTTGTCCTCAGGTGGGAACATGCACCCATGTATATCATTTCTATTGTAGAGTTGATCTCTATTGATTGGCAAAAATAAGAGACTACAAGATGTTCTGAAGCTTGTTGTGGGTTATTCTGATCTCACTCTGATGACACTCCTTGAGACTGGCAATAAAGTTTGCTTAGAATCAGAGGGTAGAGCTAACTACTAGCTGACCAAAATTAGCCATAGAGGTTTTGGAGGACAAAGGACATATAGAGAGACACAGGAAATAGTAGGGAGGGGCTTAGGAGAGTCTAGGCTCTTTTGGATCAAGGAAAGAAGGAGAGAGGTCACTGGTCACTCCACAGCCACTTCTCTTATCACTGAGGTTCTTACCCAGATATCCAACTCCTGAGTTTTTATTGATAAAGATTAGTTAGATAAACACTTCAATAGCTAAAAGGAGAAATGCCTTCTATTGGTTCAAAGGCCCCACCTCACTCAATGTAATACCACTAGTACCTCAAATTTTAAAGTTGTATTATAGAAGGTTTGTGGAAGTCAAGACTGGTTTCCCTGCAAAATGCTACTTTTATGTGTTACTGCACTGGAGCACCGTGCTGTCCAAAATCAGTTGGGGTCCTGAGTCACTCATGTCTCACTTTCCTGCTTAGACTTTCTTAAATTATCTGAACTTGGGACCCGAGGGATGGGGTTACCTCTGTTGATAACTCCAGTTCCAGAGGATCCCGCAGCTTCTCCAGCTTCTACAAGCATTAGACATGTGCAAAGGGCATTTGCAAACATGCAGGCAAATCTCTCATACACAGAAAATAGAAACAAATGAATAAAAACAATCATCTGAACTCAAGCATGCAAGGAAATGGGGCACCACAAAGGCTCTCCAGAGAGGAGACCTGGCTCACACCTTGCAATCCTGAGCCCAGCAGGGCAACATGCAGAGGGAGAGGGGACCTTGGATTCTCTAGGTGCCTAAGTCAGATCATTGCTTGGGGTAGCTAGCTCCATGGTTTCTGAAGAGAGGAGATCGGCCCACATGAGAAAATCTAAGCCTTGACCTCACACATTCTGCCCAGAAGCCAGGTTACCATTGCCTGTCTCAAGCATGATGCCTGCTGGTTTGCCCAGCAGGCCCTGGAGAGCCTCTTTAGTCATACGGAAGAGTGGAAGCTGGGGAGATAGATGCATGCTGGCTGTCTGACCCTGAGGGGAGAAGCTAAAGGCTTGGGATGCTGAGCCTTCTCTAGTTCTTAGTCTTGTAGAGAATGCATTCTTCACAAAATCATCTCAGAAGTGTGGGCAGTGAGGGTGGGGCAGGAAGGAGAAATGGTTGTTGTTGTTCTTTTTTTTTAATCAACCTCTTCCTCTTGCTGTCTCCTCAGTTGCCCTTTGAGTACTGTTTTGTGTACACATCTCTCTTTCCTGTACCCCCGGGAACACCATCTTTCCACCCTGGCAGACAGATTTTGTGAGCTGATTTTCTCCTCTCATAGCTCTTGCATTTTCATGAAGAGATTAAAAACCAATGTGAGAGGCTGCTGAGGACAGGAAGGTGCTCCACAGTGCATGGAGACCTTGAATCGAAAGATCCTCCAGCGTCCACCAGGTAACAGGGCTCGTGTATATATGTGTGTGTGTGTGTGTGTGTGTGTGTGTTCCTCTCCACTGCCCACCCTTGAATTTACCAGTAACGATGATTGTCAACCGGAAGAGCAAGACACTTGATCTCTTTATTAACTTTAGGAAGAGTTGTGGAGGCCACAGCATCTTGTGCCCAGACAGCTTCTAGCCAGTCTGTGGAACATCAGTGAGTTTTGCTCTCTTAAGCTGACAAACCTAATACCCCACTTGGGACTGGGTGGAGGGGGACACTTATGGATTCTGTTTCCTGCCAGGAGTTTCCAAGGAAGGAGAGGAATGGGCAAACTTTCTAAAGAAATTTCCCCATGACTGCCCAGCCAGACTGTGTTAAGTGTCTGGAGGCTACAGAGGAGCCAGCTGGAGGGAAGTCACTCTTCTGAGTGAGGTTTCCATACTTCGTGTGGCCTGAGAAATTAGTGTTGCGGTAGAAAGATGAAGCACTGACCTCATCAGTGATTTGAAGTCCACACTACCGATCATCCCGAAGGAACCACAGCCTCCCTTAGGGCCATTTACTTCATCCAGTCAGGTTCAGGAGCCCATCCCCGGATGAGAACTGCCCTGAATCCATAGCCTTGGGTCCTCACTGCAGGAGAGCAAGGGGACATCTCATATCTTCCTCTATCACTGTAAGAGAACAAAGGAACATCTCATATCTTCCTCTATCATTGTTGGAGAGCAAAGGGACATCTCATATCTTCTTCTATCACTCTAGCCTGAGTTTTGGACACAGAGTCTCACTTGGTTGACTGCACTCTCCAACTGGTTAGATTGGCTAGAGGCATCTAGATGAGCTCCAGGGATTTGCCTGCCTCTCTGCCACTTCATCCCTCCAGTGCCAGTGTTATAGATGAACCCATTCATACTCATTTCTTATGTGGGTTCTGAGAATACAAACTCTACTCCTCAGGTGTGACTGTGAGACATCTCCCTAGTGTCTCTATAGTATCTATTGAAACAAAGTCTCACTGAACCTGGTGTTCACCAATTGGCTGGACAGGCTGTCCCATCCCCCATCCCCTAGAGTGTTAATCTTACTTCTTTCCCATTACTTTCCTTTTTCTATTCACAGTGCTGGACAGGAGGGAAATGGCTTTCATTTTAAAGATGGACATGGATGGCAGGGTAACACTCAGGTTGATCTGATCACATAAAGCATTTTCTTTTTGTATTTTGGATAAAGTAATACATTAAAAAATCAGTCAAAGCAACCAAAAGTTATAAGCAGTAAAGACTTTTCATGGACATGACCCCCATGACACTTGCACAGTGGTTTATCCTCATAGCAGAATTTCATGTTTTTCTGACCATGTTTTTAAGATGCTGTGGTAAAGGATATGGGACATAATGGTATAATTACTTTTGTCAGATGAGACTAAGATAATCTACTCAAGGCCAACATATATGACCTTTTCACATTTTTTTAGTGTGACCTGCACCTGCTCTTTCCTCCAGTCTCTTCTAGTCCTGAACAATGCCAGGGAGTGCATCTTAGGAGGGGCATGGGGAATCTATCCCAGTTTTCTAGCTCTGAGGTCCAACCAGGGGCAGGAAATACCTGTTGCATACCCACTGATCTTTCCACTAACTACTTAAAAATGAATGGAAGAGCTGATGTCTGTGAGGTGGGTGGGGTTGGTTGATGACTGGCTACCAGGGGACAGGGAGAGAGCACAGTGCTGTCACAAGAGGGTGGTGGCTTAAAATAAGATACCCCAAATGGGACATAATGCAAGAGGTGTGAACCTGGAAACAGAAAACATGACAGTCATTTTACTGGAGGTGAGTGGGTTCCCACTAGAAGAAGCAAAGGAGACGGAAATATCTAAGCATTTGAGACATTCTCTAACCTAAAGAAGGCTTGAGAAATGAGAAAACCCCCGATGCTCCAACCCTTGCTTTCTCTACTCTTTCTGATCAGGCTGGATCATTGAGATAGCATCAGTTTAAGGCACTCACCTAGGGGAAATGACCTGTCACCTGTTGCTTGGTCAAAGTCATCCTATGAGTAGTCCTGCAGTGGAGACCATTGGTCAGCACCAAGGGGCAAAAGACAGTATGCAGGGAGACCTCATCCTATCAGCCTAAGTTGGGGGCACACTGCAGGGGAAGCTGTGGTTGTGCTAGCATTGTTCTTCCATGCAGTGGTGTACAGCCTGGTTTCACCCATCCTCCAGAGTCTTGGTCCCCTCACAGATGTGTAAAGCAGCATAGGGCTTCCAGGGCACCTAGGTGTTAGCTTAGAAACATCAACACTGTCTCTCTCCACTCCTTTCTGTAGCTGGCCCTACATGCTCCCCTCTACTCTTTAAGACATTCCCCTCGCACAACCCAGTATTGCTATAATGTGATCTGCATCCATTTATCAAGCATCACCTGTATTTCTGTGTGATCAAATCACTGGCCCAGTGGTCCAATCAAGTGGATACAGACTAGCCATCTCTGAAAACCTCTCAGAGGGCAGAAGGACAGATGGTCTTCAAGAACAGGTCTTTGTGTGAAAGTCCAAGCCTAAGATAGAAAATCAGCAATTTTTTTGAGAACTCTGAGTAGTCTGGGTATCTGTGTGAACCAGATTAGATTTGTTTCTGTGGGACTGGTTACAGAGCAGAGTTCAAGAGACAGGGAGTTGTTGACCCAAAGGAAACAGCTCCAAGAAATGGGTACATGTGATATAATCATAAGGACAGTCACAAAGTTACCACAGCTTGTTTCCTGGAGCTAAAAGCATCTTCAGTGTGAAAAGACAACGAAGTTACTGGGGTAAATGCTGGGTTGTGACATTTGATATCAAAACTTAAAGGACCCAAAATTTATTTATTTGTGTTTCTTGCTAAGTTGGTCTCTAGCCAGTTTCATATGTAGAGGGGTATCTAGGAAATCCATTTGGCACCAAAAATGGTTTAGTTCCAAAAAGTATTTTGACCCACCAAAGACCCTAAAATTATGTAATTAGGCATTCATTTTGAGGTACATGTGGAGTATTCTTGGTTGTCAACTTGGCTACATATAGAATTAAATAAAACCCAGATTTCTGGGCACACCCTGAGGGATTTTTATTTTCTTAATTAAATACTTTAATTTAGATCAAATCTGGATTTTCGAGGTGGGAAGACCACCATTAATCTTGACCACACCTTCTGCTGGCATCCTATATAAAGGACATGGAAAAAGGAGGCACTCTCTTTGTCTGCTAAACCTGTTGCTCACCTAGCAAGTCCATTCTTTCACTGATATTATAGCCTGCTATTTCTGGATCCCAGTATATATGGAAGACCAGCTGAGACATCCAGCCTCATGTACTGAAGAACTATAGGATTCTTGGAATTTCCATTGAACGATAGTTATTGTTATTCTAGCTGGATTACAGCCTGTAAGTCATTCTAATAAATTCCCTTTTTATCTTACACACACACACACACACACACACACACACACACACACACACACACACGGGATAGAATATACATGTGTCTAATACTACATGTTTTATAAGTTCATTTTCTCTAGAGAACCCTGACTAATACAAGACCTGCTCCTGTAGCCTGGATCAAGGAAACACTCAGAAGCAGCGCACTGCATTACCTTTGAAGATCTGCAGGTAGGTACCTTCCAGTAAGGAAGCTAGAAAGTCATTCTCTCATGGATCCCCTACCTGGTACAGGAGGTAGGTATAGTAGGCAGGACAAGGATTAAAAGAAAGGCTGTAAGGAATAGGGCAGAACAGAAGAAAGTGTCCCGGAAGAGAGAGGCCCTCAAGATGTCTGCAATCCAAGACCGAGCTGGAAACAGGGCCACTGTGACCTCAGGAGCACAGCACACTGACTGTTTCACCTCAACTTAGCCTTTCTTTCCCTCTGCTTCCTGGGTGCATCCCACCACTCCACAACCTGGCCCCACAACAGAATCCTACTCCTGGGTGAACAGTCAGTCCTGGTTTGACCAGCGCCTTCCCAGTTTGGGAGGAGAAAGTCTTGTAGTCTGGACTCAGCTAAGCTCCAGTCAGAGCAGGAGGGACCATTTCCACGGAACAAGGAAATAATTACATTTGTTTCT